ACAGTAGTTAAAAAATCCTTCAGTCTGACCTACTCCTGAGCCATTACTGTTATCCTGTTCGCACGTACAAAAAATATTTAAGATCCATTTTAATATTATTGTGACATAAATGCCTAATTAAGTATATGCTGTCGTGTAAACATTTTTATTAATGAAATCTTTAATTTGAGAGAAGAAAGAAACTTTTGTTCGGGAAAAATTAAATTGCAAATAAGAGGGCCTTTTCAGTTGTTCATGATGAAATTTCGTGTAGAAGCATTACGTCTAAATATGTCGTATGGAATTTGTTCACATGCTCGTCGTACAAATTCTCCGTAATTTGATTAAACTGCACTTAATTTGCAAATGCCCACGGGGGTTTCGACAGGTTAAGTGTGTTTGCTTTACTCGGCTGCAAAGTAGCTCATGATTTCAGCGCGTCGGTTGAAAGCTTACGAAGTTGCATTTGTACCCAGAGAAAGTTGAATGAGTCCACGCGGCTAGGAGGGAAGCTCTTGCCCAAACATTTTTGGCATTGTGCTGGATCAGACAATTGCTTTTGTTGACTATGCCCTGACGGCGTAGGACAGATCAACATTTCAAGGAAACGAGGAACGTTAGACGTCGTAAGTAAGAGGAGACAGAGAGTCGAGGTTAAAGTGAGGGAAAAGAGGACAAAATTAGAAAGGCGAAGAGCGAGGAAGAAGGAGCGAAAAATACAAAGATGGAAGGAATCGAGTTTAAATATCAAGTGCGGAACGTTTTGAAGGCGGTGAGATGCGCCGACTGGTTTGACGCTTCCTTAAGAGTCCACGTCGACGGTTGCTAACTATTGAGTGTTGACTTTCATAATTTTCGCTCTTCGCCAAATGTGATTAGGTTTATCATCTAAAGCGGGAACAAACGAAGATGTCGGGAATCCTGAAGAGAAGACGTCGGAGTCTGGTAAAGAAATAGATTGGATTCACGTGGCTCAAGATAGGGGACCAGTGGCCACAGTAATGAATATTCGGATTCTATTAAGGACTTCGAATTTCTTGACCGTGGTTAATGGGCAGGACTGCTTGATGGTGACGGAAAAGTATTTTCGAGTTGTCGCTGACGTTGGTGTAACTTGTTACATACTTTCACTGATTTGAATATTATGAACTAATCTAAGTCAGAGAATTTAGCACGTATTACCGTTTTATGAATTCCAAACTAAACTGAAGTAATATAAGATGCAAGTCATTTCATGTTTCCTCTATGGGGTTTGTGCGCTGGAAACGTCATTGCAGAGGCCGGGTGCCCGTGTTGAGCTTTTGCTGTCTCTCAGCAAATTTAGAATCAAGGTTAATCTGACACAGTTTGATGGAATTCTGATTTCAACTCTGCTCATATAGTTAGATTATGTTGTAATTCAGTATCGATTAAACTTCACTCAGCCCTAGTGACTACTGAATTGTGCTAAGGGATTAATGAATACATCTTGTTGTTCACTGAATGTTAAAACTCGATCTTATATTATCAAATGATTGATAATCGGCTGATATAGAATCTCCTTGTTGTTATAGCATCAGAAGATTTTTAATCCTCACCACAGAAGTCCGCAGTTCGAGTCTAAATTTGTAGTGCACAGTAATGATTCTCAATCCCATTTTAATACAATTATGTTCCTACTAATTCTCAGTTTCTGAAACGCTCTTTTTTAAGTGGGGTCTTCAATCGAAAATGTTGTACGAGTTTTATGTTTCTCCAACGGCTTGCAACTGCCCAGTCTTAACACTATTAAGTGATGACAAGTCTTGCAGGGCAGACATTTTTGAGAAGTTGTCAGTCGCTCAGCTATCCAAGAAACTCCCCGGCTTTTATGCAACCCGAAGGTGAGTGTAATCACGTGACTTCATCTATCCCTCTGTTGGTTCGTCTGTCGAATCCTGGAATTCTCATTCAGGGAGAGCCATGTTCGAATCCAGGCCGTTTCCGGACATGGTTCGTTATGTCTGGCTGTGGGATTCGAACCTTCTCAGTTGGGATGTGTAACTTTTAACAGCGTAGATAAAGAGAAGTGAGTGTGTGGAGAAGGGCACTAACTTGGGGGGGGGGGGGGGGGGGGGGGGGTAGTCTTTCCTTCCTCCACTGAACTGAATCGGGAGCCAATTTCACAAAGTTTTGGATTCGGTGTCGGTCCGCATACAAACGAGAAGTTCTCATCCCACCGTCCCGCCATTGCTACTCCACCATTTTCTTACTGTAGACCACGAAGTAGCTACGACTTCATTTCAGTGGTGGACCGAGACATTTAAATTCTGCAGCCCCTACAGACAGCAAAGCACGAAATGCTACGTCATCGTTGCTTGAAGAATTTGGAATTTTGGAAAAAGTTGGCTTACGTTCGATGTAAACAGGAAGGTAATATTAAAAATAATCTTGAAGTTTCGGAACAGGAAGATGTAGATTTGACTTGATTGAGTTAGAATAGGGTGTATTTATTGACCACTTGAATAAGGTCAAAACTCATTGGTGCAAAGTAATGTGTCCTATTTATTGTTACAGAAGAAAAAGACTGCTTATTAAATGCTTTGATTCTCTCTGCATTGTACAGTTAGCGAATGGTATATAAATAAATGTAACAAATTGATCTTTCGGTACAGCAGTCAGCTGTCATTATTATAACACTGTACAATCCGTACACGCGTTTTCAATCGAAATCTTGAAATATTTAAACAAATCAAGTGGTGACCGCACAGGTTCGTTTCGAGGTTCAACACGTGGTAAGTGATGCAGTTGAGTTGTCAGAATTAATAATTCTCAACAAAAATACCGCCAGAATATTTGTATTCGGTATCAGCACGTATGGTTAAGCTGTGTGTACATTCTGCCACCTTCGCTCGCGCGCGTGTGTGTGTGTGTGTGGGCAGTTTTAAACTTTAAAATGTGACAATTCCAAGCGTTCGCAATAAAATGCGCATTATAATTCATACCCACTCAGCGCCTGGCTACACTGCGCCACCTTATCAATATAACATGAATGACGCTGGAAACGAAAAACGATGGAAAAGCGAAGCGTGTCTGCGGAGTTCGGTCGCTGCTGCATGAACGACCTTTGGATGAAGTTGGCGTAGTTTAAGTTTGCCTGTTTTGACTCAAGTGGTCACGCTTAATTTGTTTTGAGGAAGCTCGTCTACGAAATTTTGTGATTTATTACCACGCCTCCCCTCTGTGGCGTTACCGGAACCTTATCACCGGCAGTTTGAACCCACAGCGTACATTCGCATTTAATTAGACGCTAAGTAACATCTGTAAATAATACATTGTCGTTAAATATCCTGTTCGTTTAAGTAGCATTAAGCCTTCGAGTGTAACGACAATTTTTTTTCTAAATTACTGATGTGGGCCCAGAAAAGTTTGCTTGTGTCCCAACGTTAGTACTGCAGGTACCGGTCGCTTGTGAGGACGTATGGACAGCCCTGTGGTTTCAGGCACCTCCAGGTCGTCCTTTGTGTTCATGAGAGCGAACTTGTTCACGTGTTCTAGGACGTGGCTTTCATTAAATAGGCCCTTTCCATGTATTTGTGTATTCACATCCGAGTTTCGTTTAATTTGTTCGTGGATGTAACTTGGAACAATCTCAGCAGCAGGCACAGGTGTCAAAAGAGCTGAATACAGCCGCTGCTAGTGCTGACATCTGCGAACAGGTGATACTGTGCATTTATATATATATATGACAGTCCGCCACTGAGCTCCGGTAATCTTCCGAAAGAAGTGCTGTTCAGTCTGTAGTGACGCGGGGCAGGAGCATACCAATGAGGCACCGGCTCTGCTCTATGATTTGTGTATCCCATTCACCCCTCCTACCACCAGAGAGATATATTTCAACTCCGACACACACAAACACGTAAGTGAGAATGGCGAATGCACTTATCTTGAAGCCGCTGAGTGCATGTCGTCTCGACGTCACTTAGGACACTCGTTTGGCTTCCATTTATCGATAGTTGTTTTATTTTCGTGTAATCAGATAATGATTGTGGATGTGATGCCGTGCTCCGTACCTGTCCCTGTGTCCGATTGGTTGCAACATGGGCGCCTTGTTACCTCTTGTATACTAGGTTTTTGGGTTTGAACTTAAAGCAGGACGTGGCTAGAAGAACAAGAAGAAGTTTTTCTCTTTATGTGGTTAAGATGTGAATGGTCGTCCGCACACGAGACCAAGAATTCGAATCCCTGTTGTTCTCATTTTCCTGTCACCTGCCCAAGATTAAACGTCTGGGATCTAATCCCGCGTCGCAGGAGGCCACCCGTTGAAATATGCGGGCCTGCTTTTATGGCATGGCAACTTTAGTCAGTGTCCAGGAACGAACGTCAGTGAAGTTAGATTTGAACCGAGGAAAAACCGGTCTCGGGGCCGAGATTTGACCGCATGTACAGATCTGTCTCAGTACTGTGCTTAACTAAAGTCGTACATACTCATTCAGTTTTTAAAGAAATCTTTATTACCATAATTTAAAAAAGTCTCAACCTTTCTTACTTGTTTGTGCAGTTTAAAGATTTCATTTTTCGTGCAACGTGAAGATCCATTGCATTTATCCTGCGTTCTTTACACCGCTGATCGTGATCATGTTTCAACTCGATAACGTCTGGACGGATTTTGATGGAATTTGGTATGAACGTTATGCCACTAGAGGTCAACTCAATTTTATGTAATCTGTAATAACAGCCTGTGGAACGGGAGCTACACTAGCGTCTGTTAAACGTCGTTTCACAGCTTCCAAATATTGCAAAACTTGTAGATCGTGTGTTCCTGATTTATGAAAGAAAAAATAATATATTTAGCGTACAACATTGATTTGACAAATACTGCCAGGCTCTCTGAGAGATTATCCCGTTGTACTGGGCGCCACATGTGCTGATTTACAAATATCAATGAGGAAAACATAATTAAAGCGAGCAGTTTGATCCTGTAGTGGGAGTTTTTTTCTAAATAGGAGTACTTAAGTAACTACAGAAGAATAAAAAATTCGCAATTCACTCACAGTACATACCTTCGGCCGGATCTAGACGCTTCGCTCGGCGGCCATGTTTGGAATTATTGTGGACAAACATGTTATCCGAAATGGCGAGAAGTGGTCCGTCCACTCCTACTTGCGTTGATATGACAACCTGCAAGTGAAGAGATATTTGCGGTTAACAAACAGACTAATTCCTGTAATTGGTCTTCAGGTGCTCCGACGTGCCTTACGAATTCGAAAATGGTTTGCAGCTGGAATTAATACGCGCATTGCGAAAAGGAGCTTTTGACCGTTTGAACGTCTTCATTCGTCGATTATGATTATAGTCGGCAATAGTCGAGGAATCTGGTCGATTATAAACTCACTTGCCGACCGTGCAGTGATTATTCTATAATTAGTGCCCAAGCACTGTACTGAAAAAAAGAGATCTATGTCGAAACCCGAAGTATTATAAACAGACATTCATATAGAATAAAGCAGCTGTAGTGAATAACAAAATTAAATCCTCGACGAACAGTAGACAACGTTCACGTTAACTTCCGTTGTCATGGTAACAAGTGGTCTCCTTTTTTATACGCTGCAGTACCATACGAACCACGTCACTACTCGGATGGTCACCGCTCAGATTTGGTCCTTTCATGTGGAATCTGCATTGGATAAAGCCATTTTGAAATGTATTTCGTTACAAACTTCTATTTCCTCTTGCGTATATTTTATCTACCTCGTGATGATAGTCAATGTAACTAGTTGCCTAATTCCGTGATATATTTTATTTTGCGTTGTTTTTTTAAATATATTTCCGGTTAAAACTAAATATGAAAGTCTTGTTCACTTCCTTTTCATGCCATAGCAACGTGATATAAGACATGCCATTCAAACGGCACATCTGAACATTACTACATGGTCCCTAACTCCGTTACACTGCTCTGAAAAATGTATCACGGAATTAGAGATATCACGAAAATAGGCAACTTTACCCTATTTCAAATCCTTAGTAAAACATGTCAGTCTTGTGAACAGTATTTATGTTTATGCAAGAAAGTTGGACAAAACTGCACATTGACGGGTCGTTAATAGTAACAGAATTAATTTTGGGTCCCAAAACATTTACACGTTTAATAAGTGTAGATCTCTGATAAATGCTCAACAGTTTGCAGTTATTGTGACATGGAATTTTATCATTACTGCCTCGATGTTAATGGATTTGAGTATAATTGAAATACGAGCAGACATTACAGTATATCTGGACAGGAGTTTTCAGTACAATAATCATATGACTGAACAGAACACGTTCTAATACGTCATCAACTGTCGTGGTTGGTCATGGTGATGAGCCAAATTGAAACAAACTACGCCACTATTATTAAATTGTGTTAACTGGTAAACTGGACGAAAGCCATTTGTGATTAGTCGAGTAAATTAACTTGATACATTTTGCCAAAATGTTAACAAATGGACGCATTATAATAAATACCCTTTGAAAATCCACAGACGGCAGCCATGCGTACATAATCCGTTTCCAATTGACTGTAATGCATTTAAAATGGACATTAAGTAGCCGAATATGATAATTCATATGACAGAACATTAGTGTGTGATCTGGTGAATCACGCTTCGGTAAACTAGTTTTCAAAATCTGGTGTTTGCACGCATTCTGCAGTGACGCAATATGGTTTACTGTACACATTTCCTTTTGAATTTGTTTTGAAACTTTCTGATCGTAATTAAAATACGGTAATTTATGATGAATGAACATTTTGGTTTGAGAGGCACAGAACGTTGGGTAATTTAGTTGGTCTGTCAGTGCGTTAGCTCTTCAGAGGACTTAGCAATCTAATTTTGACAATTGCACCAAAAATACCTTCAGTGTCATTCGTTTCCTTGGAGGTAAGAGGACACTAGCTAGCTACTTTAGTCAGGCGTCCTCTCCTCCTCCTCAGTTTCTCAGCTGTTCGTTCATACGGCTTTGTCCCCACTCGCTTACATTTATCTGCCTGTACGTCCGTCTCCCGTTACACGCGTCTGTTGGCTGGGTGGACTAACTGCAAGGGGAATGCTGAAGATGAACAAGAAGAAGCTTGGGGGAGGAGCCAAGTCCCGAGAGACGAGGCAAGAGAGAAAGCAACCACGAAACAATGAACACCCATCAGAAGCCACCAATAGAATTGCAACAAAAATCACATCCATCGATATTTTAAAGCGTAGAAACACAGGGTTGCTGCTGGAGCCAGAGATGCCCGTATTTGATTAGGGTAGAAAGTTTGCCTCTCGGTCTACAACGCTTTATCAGCTGTGCAGCTAACATCGTCGAATGCCAGGGCAGGTTTTAGAGATGAGTTGAAACGAAGGGTCGTAACTTGTTTTGTTATTCATCCGAATTAGCTACCGTGAAGTGAACTAGATTCGTCCTCAACCACCTGAGCTGCGGGCCGAGAATGAACCCAGCACCTCTTAAATTATTAGCCACGAGGAAGTTAGTTAGCGCTGGCCACGACTAGGAAATGTTTGGGACAGACTGCGAGTAAGATGCGAGACGAATAACATATGTGTAAGGCGTTGCTAACTTTGACGCGCTGACTTCAGAAATGTAGACATGTTCAACGAAGTCTGTAAATACAAACGTTGCTAAGGAAGTCGGTGCCGGAAAGAACGAAGTCTTTACCCGACTCGATAGACCGACTGTTCTTATGTCGGATGCGTGTGTCATTTTGACAGCGACTGTACACAGAAACATTTTCTCACTTAGGAATTATGAAAATCCTGCCACTTGAATTTCCTAATGTGCGATTAGTGAGGCTTTTTGTACACCCTGCCTTTGATGCACCACGTAGCCAGCCTGTATTCACACCGAGTGGCTCCATCCATATCTTCCTGAATTAGTCCCGACGTTCAAGGCTCGTTTTTAATCTGCTTCGGTCGCGTGCACGTGGTCGGGAAATTTCCTCTGTCAGTTCTGAAGCGGATAGTTCCACGCCGCTCGCTTCGGAATCGCCACGTAACCTGTTTGTTAAAGGGTAACAACTTGTAGGGGCTGTTTCCTCCCTTAAGCTGTATCATCACTTGAGACGGGGATAGGAAGGCCAATCCCGTCCCCTGGGATCCGTGTTTTGGCAAGACGTATGGACACTAAGTCCGACCTTGCTAATTGGAGCATCAGTAATTAGCTCGAAGCAAGGGTCAGTCGCCCAGAACTTGTGTGTGCTTTACTCTGCGTTAGGTCAGCCCCATATGAACCACTTCGCGTAAGTTGGGCCAACATCAAGGAGCTTCTTAAACCAATCACAGTGGTCGATTCATATCCACGAATTTTCTGTTTGCAGAAAGTTTAACGTGTGTCTGGATTTCTCGGGCAAATAAACTCAGTATTCTTGTCTAACGCGGAAAACCAGTAATTAATTAATTAATTCAGACGGATAATATCTTATCTGCCCTTTTACACGTATTAAATAATCAGATCTGATGTTGTCGCGGCTTTTAATTGTCAGCATTTGTATTGTGGATTGTGGGACACGTGAGCTGCATACAAAATTTTGGTTGCGAAATCTTGCCAGAAGAGACAGCCTTGGAAATGTTTTCGTAGACCGGAGGTTAACATGTTAGATTAATGCCTGCGAATACCAGATAATAGGAAAAGTAGGTTTCAAATTGGTATATAAAAAATGTATTTCGCTGTTTATTTGAAATTAATCTGGATCTGACTTTTCTTAACTTGAATACGAATATGTCAGTTTCCTTACTGGAAGTTTTCGTGTGCTTACTTATCAGCTACATAATATTTTTTGGACTGGCAGTTGAATTTTAATTTCTGTATGACGTTTGAAAATATGTTCGTACACTGTAAAAAATGAAATTGTTTTGTCGTTTAGCCCTCTCTGAATGAGACGTCATTTGCCCAAATAATGACGTTCTTGGTACTCAGGCACTCTGAAATTGTCGGCGCAACAAGGATATCGTCTCTTGTTAACAGGCACCGGAAGTTCGTCACAGTAATCACAAAATCCCGCTGTTGGACCTGTCCCGTGCCAGTTCAGTCCAGTTCTCGCCTTCACAGACAATTTCTTCAGCTTTAATTTTAATACTGTGTCCTCGCCCAAGCCATCTTTCCGATGAAATCGCGTTCTGAAGGAACACGGCTTTAAGCCGCCTCAAATAATGCACAAGAAGTTGATTGTCCTCGACTGCGATGCAGAGCGCCGGATCATGGAATCGAATCCCCGGCTGGTCGTCATCGCAGTCGGTTCCCATGGGAACCAGAGTGTAGGGGGTGTGAGGGGGAGAGGGGGGGCTGCGTGGCGCATTCCCGTGGGGCAACCGCTCAATTCCCGAGGGGGGGTGGAGTCTTGTGTTCCACGTTAGGTAGCATCAGCTTGTCTGGCCACAAAATGGCGGGGCACAAGTGGCGCTGCAGTGACTTGTAATCGACACTAACATCGCAAAGACAAAGGAGTGCAGATGAGCGGAAGTGAGATCAGTCTGCTCATGGCTTCAAGTCAAGCAGGGGGTGTGTTCAAAGCAGATGCTCGATTCACTGATAATTGGCGCCCTGTGAGCTGTATGGGTATGTTGTACCGTCAAACACTGAATCCAGAAGGAGAGGGTCGTGGCCTATGTCAGTGCCATAATATAGGAAGTTGAAACAAAAGTCAGTCATTAGTAGGATTTGAGGTTTTAACGGCGATGAGTCCGAAGATGGCTGTCTTCTGGGTTGTAGCTCTCCATCACCAGGGCGATTCCCTGTTGATGGAGGTAGTATGTACCTCTGAAACGTCGGTAAACTTCTACCGGACTACTCACGGCGCAATAACCCAGAAGACAACCATCTGTAGTTTCCATCCGTTCTTCAGATGTCGATATAAGCCTGTAGTCTTCATTTCATGATTGAAACATCGCAAGTTTGAATTATTGATATATTTTGGATAGTGATCTAGATGAATACTGAAGAGTTATTCTGCATTATTTGGCTATGAATATTTTAAGGCTCTGCTGTGAAGTATTTTAAGGTCACAGTTCCATGCGGGCGGAGCCATGTTTGAAGAATTGTTACAGGATTTTGCTGTAACATTTGCTGGTTGTGTATTTCAGTTGTGACTCTGTGTAATAAATTAAAGTTGGCGTTAGTTGACTTTTTGAAAAATCGCTTCCGCCTTCCGC